CACAGCCACCTGCCTGCACATCCCGGTGCATCACCAGGGTCTCTGTCCTCAGCCTCACCAAACTTGGCTTCTTTGGCTCCCCCAGCCAGCCCTGAGCCATGGAAACACCTTTTAAAACCTTCTCCACAGATGCACATGGAGAGTATCCCTAATGCTCGACATGGTGACCCTAAGAAGACACCAACCCCCGATGCGGAGACCTCCAAAACCATCTATTTCAGCATCCAGGCTGTGGCCCAGGTGAGTTGGCGCTCACGGCCATCTGCCCCGGAGGGGCTCCAGCACTGAGAAAGGAGATGGGCAAGACCTCAGGGTGAGATGTAACCCCTAGAGCGAGGGGCACGGACAGATGGGTCCTCACTGGGCTTTCTAGGGGTTCAGATCTTCAAGCCCAGCCCGTGGGTCCCCTCTCTTTCGCCAAGGGAGGGATCGGCTCCCGCAAGCCCAAGCCAAGTTTTGTCCCTTTGCAATTGCAGACGGATGATGAGAAGATGAGCAACAGCCGGGAGTAGGATGTCTACTCATCGGTCAGCCACCCAGACCCCGCGGCGCAGCCCCAGCACGGCTCCAGTGCATCCATGAACCTCCTCTGAGCACGGCGCTCCTCTGTGCCCGGCCTCTGCCCGTGGGGTTCCAGCATCCCCCCCTTCCCTCCCCGCCGCTCCTGCCTCCGATTCACCCCTCGGCAGTGGTCCCCGGCCAGCGATGTGAGGATGTAGGTGCCCTGTAAGCGCAGACTCGTCTGGCGCAGGAGCTCTGCCCCTGTTTTGGCATCCACGCGGCATTTGGGCTCCTTTTTCGGCCCTCTCTGACCAGACCAAGCAACATGGACCAAAACTGTGGCTGCAAGTCCAGCCCTCCCAGTGCAAGGACACGAAGTGACGGGATCTGCCCTGCAGCACCTCGGGGTGTGGAGCCTCAGGAGGACTTGAGGAGCCTCTTAAAGCCCTTTTTAACTGTTTTCTTCTTGCTCTACTTTTAAACTTGGCAAGTACTCTGGCTGCTTCCTTCGGTTGCTAAACCAAGAGAGAGCAAAAATAACATTTGGTGGTAGGAAGCCGAACACAGCAACACACGCGCCTTGGCCCGGGCGCATACGCCCAGGCTGCTGCGGTTTCGGTGCCAGCTGCTTCCTCGGTACTCGCTGCTCCTGGGCCTGCCGGGGACCTTCCAAACCTTGCAGGGTGCCAGCAGCACGCTCAGCACCGCTTTGTGCCCTGAACGAGCAGCTCGCCCTCCTCTGAGATGCTGCAGGGTCGTGCCCAGGGTCCAGGGGCAGGAGGTGGCCCAGGCTTGGGGGCAAACAGGACAAGGAACTTGGCTGGTGCTGTGCTGCTCCGCTCCCGCGGCGGGTTTGTGCAGGCGGTTTTATTCTGCGATGAAACGTTTGCATGATGTGAAGTGCTGTGTCTGCGGAGTGAGGTGGCTTCCCGGCAGAGCTGTAGGGAGGAGAGCAGCTCTCCGAGCCCCGAGCGATGCGCGGATGCTGCGCGGCTGCATCCCACCGGGATGCGTCTCCTGCAGCAGGGTCTGCGGGGGTTCACCCCGAGCTGGGACTTACGAGGACGTGGATGCCCAGCGAGCAGGACACGGGGCACGTCCCCACCCTCCCTGCTCCCCAAACCTGCCCACAGCCAGAAACTGGGTGAAACACACACATTGACATCAATTTTCCGGTGCCGCCGGACAGACAGACGCCGCCTGCGCTGGGAAGCCTTGCTGCTTCCCCCTGCTCTTTGTCTTGTCTGTGCAGATAGTAAATTATTCAGGGATGAAACCGGAGATTTCTTTGAAGTGCCTGGCACAGGAGAGCCCTCTAGGAGCTACTGGAATAAAAATGCAAGACACATCTGAGCTCAATTTCTGTCTGCATATTATTTTGGGTGAAAACAGTCCATTAGTGACGAGCCCGTGGAGTAATTTGTTTATTCTCTGCATTTTCACAGTATGTGACAGGCTTGTTTTTGAGTTCCTCAAATTCACGCTGATCAATTAGAAATACATACCTCAGTGGGTCATGCATTTTACAGAAAGATTTGCCTGTGTGACACCAAATCCGTCCTTGCAACTCCAATCCCCAGCCTGGACAGGGCTTAAAACAGGGGTGATGGCAGCAGGGCCTGGCCCGACAGGAGCTGGGGCAGTGCTGGAGCGTCGCCTCCTCCTTGGCCCACGCTGATGGCTGGCGGGGCTCCATCCCTTGCCCCCAGCACAGCCCCAGAAATGACCCGCTGGGATGTTTTCTGGCCATTAATCACCCTATTTCAGTGGCGACACCTTCGAGCTCACAGGAAGGCGTTGGTGGGGCAGAAAGGGGAAGGAAGCCATTGCAAGAGGGGGAGCGGCCGTGGAAGGCTCGGTGGAGCAGAGGAGGATGGAAGCAAGAGGTGTCGGGATGCGGTGGCTCTGCATGGCAATGCTCTGCTCTGGAGCTGGTGAGTGGGGCTGGGGGGGTGGAGCGTAGGGGCTGGGGTCTCCCCCAGTCCCTGAGGCTGGAGGGAGGAGGAGGAGGAGGAAGAAAGGATGGTGTAAAGGCAGCAGGTGTAATGCCACAACGTCTTTCCAGGGGACCTTTTGCAGCGGGGCGGGATGCTCGCCCGGCTGTTTCACGGGAGGTGAGGCTCAGGCCGCCTGCTCTATGGCTTGGCTTGGGTCTGGCTCGAGTGCAGGGGCAGGACTGGGGGTTCCCGGGGTCTCCCAGCGCCTGGCTGTGCCACCAACCCACGCCCTGGGCTCCCCTGCTCCTGCCCAGCCCT